ATTGGTGACACTTGACAGTCTTCCCGTTGATCTCGCCTTGCCATACCCCGCAGGATCATTCAGGAAGGCGCAGACACATCCATACGAGCGTTGGAGCTCGTTCGCGATGTAGTTTGTCGACTTGCCTTCTCTTTTCAGCACCATGGCCTCCAACTTCTCGTCATCGGTCAAGCGTGGACCTTTAGGCATGGTGATGCCGTCTATTGTGGTGTTTGGTGTGAGCTTGATGTTACTGCGATGCCTACTGAGTGATTTATCTTCTTCTTTCGTGTTTTGTTCGTGAGGAATTGGACAGTGAAGGTAGCTTTCATATATATATTTCCCGTGGGATACTTTTTTCGCGCCTGAATTGGACAAGGCATGCATCAAATCGTCAAATGGATGCCAAACCTGTGTCAACCATGGCACTCTGCTTGTGATTGGTGATAATTACTGCTCATTTCAGCGAATAAAGAGTGAGATACTTAGAAAAGTGATCGTTTTCATATATATATTTCCACCACTTAGCGTTCTTTTCCATCTTGATGCTGTCTCTTTCAAGCCGGTGGAATACAAGGCCCTCTTCGGCCGAAACAGCGCATTGCACTTGCAGATTGGAGCCTTTTGACGGCGGAAGAACAGTTGTGGCACGATCTCCCTTCTTTGCACGTCCGACGGAGCGATGTCAGTAAATGTTGTAGTTGGTCTCGTCGTAGTATACGATATAGTCGCCGGCGTGTTGATGTTGAATGAGTTCCCGCGAAAATCTTGCGTTTCGCATTTTTCAGGTCGCTATTGCATGTGGATGGCTCGACGCGAACCATTTCACAGAGTACAGCATACCCAAGAGGTGTCAACGTACAGTTTGAAGGGAAATGTGGACTCCATTGAAGTCAATCTTGATCAAATGTTGAATCGCAGCGAGTGTGTATTGACAGTTTTTGTCGAAGTATCGTTCCATGGCCTCTCGCATGTCAGGGGTGGCCTTGGTTGTCTGAGGGCGCGCGCCGCCACGAGGATTGTTATCGACATGTCCAGTCGAAACGATGCGGTGGGCAGTTGTCACAGGAATTCCGTTGTGTTTCGCCACTAACAGCCAGTCGTCCCCCTCTTGGTACGCGAGGAGAAGGCGGCGCTTCTCATCCACGGTTGGGCCATCACACTTGGGCTTTGTCTGCTGAGCCTCAGCCATCTCACTTCGGGAACAAATTGCACAATGTCGTTTCCCTGTCAATTCATGAGAGGTAAGCAAGGATCTCTGCGCGCGCAAGTTTCCCACGAATTTGAACCACATTGTTTCGAATAAAAACCACTTTGAATGGAACCAATCATCCATCCCTGACTCGTAAAATTTTAAAAATTTTAATCCAATCCACTTTGGTAGGAAAAAACCACCAACTTGCTCGTGAAAAGGTGTAGACAACGTACAGTATTCTGACGTAAAGGAAAGATTGAAATTCCCAAAATTATGGCATGTGCTAGTTTGACGACGACGGAAGGCAATCTCACTCGGGTCGTGCGTCATGTCTGCAACCTGTCAGTGTCCTTGGTCCTCGCGGCTCCGCATCAACGCCACCTTCGGCTAAACACTCCTAACGTAAGG